GGGTTTAATTGAATTCAATTGGATTCAATTAGATTCAATTGGATGCAATTGGATTGAAAAACTTTCCTATTCAAAATTTTGAATTGGACAGTATTCACAATGCACAGAAAAAGCTAATATTATTTTTAGATTGAAAGGCATAGAGATATGCTCCATGCAATTCCTATAAATGAATAAAAATGCATTCAGGATTGAAAAGCATTCATTTTAACATTCGTGAATCAATATTTCTGAAAATCTGAATTCATTTCAATTCATTTCAATCCATTCTCGTTTGCTGAGTACTATTATATCATATTTTATGTCTATTACTCTGTTAACATGTAGTTTTTCTCATAAAGCTAATAAACTAGATTAAAGCGCAATAAACTAAATTAAACTAAACTAAACTAAACTATGATTTTCTTTTCTTCTATCTTTTTCTCTGATCTGTATTTCAGCTACTCGAACGTTTAAATGGCTCTGAAAGAGAGAACAAAAAAAGAAAGATGTAAGATAGAAATTTAGATGGCGTTATTGAGTAACTTATTTTTGCGCATGCGCACTTCATTTTGGTCAACATAAAATCAGGAGAGTTGTGCTACTGTATATACTGTAGCAATACACTTGATGATTTGCCAGACAGCCGAAGAGGAGCTACGAGCGCGTAAAAATGGATCTACCGGAAATCAAATCCGAATCCCCTAGCAAAGTAGACTCGCGCTGTCCACTATTAGCGTTTTTTCGTTATGCAATCAGCAGCAACCATGGCTAAGGCCCGGTTGCATCAACTTTGATTTTAAGCGAAACTTAAAACTTTCTCTATCTCGTTTTAAACCGAAAAGAGACAGGGACAAAGAGAATTCTAAGCCTTGCTTAAAATTAAAATAACATTGATGCAACCGAGCCTAAAAGCGATTTTGTCTGCGGTTAATCTTCCTTTCTGGTCTTCTCGACGAAGACTAATCGCAGACATAGGGTATTTTCCAGCAAGGACACAGTCAGACACTATAACACAATGAATCCTTGTTTAACGTTTAACTGCTTAGGGATGCATTTTGCTCTTTCATTGTCAGTATAATTTCGTACTTTCTTGAGGTTTGTTGATATGCGAGCAAATATTCCTTCTTATAGAACATGTGAAAAGCATTATGAACATTATCTCGCTGAATTCTTATTTTTTAAAAATATATAATTTTGTCGAAAGAATTATTTTTTTTGAAATTATAAGTGTGATGTATCCATTGGATGCTTTAAATATTGAATGAAATTGTGCTGAAATAAGACTAAAAAATATTGAACTTTTTGACAAAAAAACTTTTTATCAAACTGCGCTCTGTTAAACGTACATACGTAATTTTAAGAAATACAACAACGTGATCTTTGTTAAGATACAGAACTGTAAAGACAAAATTTTTTGAAAAAGCATACTAAAGTATAAATTTCAAGCTTTAAAATCCTTTTTTATTTTTTTGTCTGTAATAATTTTTTACCGAGTTATGGCGACCTAAATATTATACAATTTTAAGTTCCATATCCGGAAACTTTTCGGGGGCAGTGTATGATTACAATTCTTTTTATGTAAAAATTTTAAATAAATATAATTTGGATCAATTATAAATTTTTATATTCGGACACACTACTGCCAGTATTGGCAGTATATATCGGAACACACCCTATATCGGTGCTAGACATGCTTTGTAGCGTTTGAAACATCACATAAACCGCAGTCATTATGTGAATCGAAAATTTCTAAATTTCTGACTCTTTAAACATAGGCCCGTATTCAGAACGCGCTTACAACAATGTTAGCGCGCTAACATATTATAATTTACGTTACGCATACTATAGAATTTTAGAGATAAAACGCGCTTTTATCGGTAAAAGTTTTGGATACGAGCCATCGTCTTTTAAATAGGTCGCGCGAATCATTTATCTAATATTTGAAACTCTTTTCATTTTGCCGAATAAAATTCCAAGAGTGCACATTTTATGTGTTAATGAAACGAGATTATGAAAGACTTTATAGAAAATTATTAATTTTATAGAAAATCTTTTTTCTTAAGATTCTTTCTTTTTGATCCTTCTCATTACTAACCTCTCTCTGCTGAAATGATCAATTTTGTTGTATCGTTTGTCTTCCCGCCAAAGGTTCATGTCCGCTTGCAGCTGCGCCATTTGCGGCTGCAGAATCTACAATCTGACAGTCCATGACCGCAAAGTTGTGCAGAGGCACAACGAAGTCGTCGTCTGGTGATTATTGATTGCGCAATTACGAAAAATGCCGTTTTACCAATATAATTCATTCACTGGCAAGCTGAAGCCGTCCACCAATTTTCAGCCACTATATCCTATTGTAAGTAAGGATGCACGTAATCTGTATCTCGCACACGAAAATTCATCGACTGACTGCTCGAACTCTGCACATCTCTGCCTGAGGATGTCGATGAAATTGCTCGTTTCATTTTTTCCGTGGAAATCTCAATGCTCGCTTTGCTTTCTTGAGTGTCCTCGCCCTTCAGATCGATCGTCATTTGATTATTAGGTTCGATTTCGAACGTAGAGTGATTCGGCCATGTCGAATACGGACCTGCGTTCATGTAACATCTTTATCAGATCTTGCATTGACATAATATGCTATAGTGATGTTAACTATCGTAATGAATAAAGTCTATACTAGTTTATATATTATCTTAAATTGGTCTATCACATACGTTAACCGTAATATTTTGAAAACAGAATGATCAGTGTCCTACATATAAATACATAACAAGTCTATATTCTGTAAATATCTTTTTGGGTATATATATATATATATATATATATAT